GAAAGCTCTCTCTTGGAAAATAATTACATTTTATCTTACTAATTAATAATTTTATATTAAATTTTAAGTCAAATAACCTAGACACATGTTACGTTTTTAGATACCAGGTTCACTGAAATAAGGAAAAAGATGAGCGAGAACAGGAGTGAGACGGACGAAATTTATCTATATATCCTAAACATATGCGAATCACACTAGATATATAATTATAGGATGATTTGTATGTATATGGAGTACCACATACGCGAGCAAGACAGGAGAGTGAAAAACAAAAAAGGAAAAAATGCGAGCAAGATTTGTCTATGTATCAATATTTGTCTATGAGAATCCATTTAAATATAATGTATCTAAAAAAAATTAATAAACCTGATTTTGACCCCAAATACATATAAATGTACCAAAATCTGATCAAATTTATAATATTGCAACGTATCTAGATAATTAGGTCATGCATGAGCTAAGATTTTCCATTATAAAACATTATTTTTTAAAATAGCAAGTATATGTCTTTGATTTTTATTTTATTTTTAAAAAAAAGGATTAAAAAAAGCCCCTTCCTTCCCCCTTTTAGTCTATATATGGTTGTTGAATAATCATCATAAAGGATATCAACACTTGTTCATTACAATTTTTTATTTATTTTCAAATCAATAGTAAAAATGGGTCTAAAATCTGTATTGTGTGCCAAAATAGAAATGAAGGCTGACAAGGATGTGTTCCATGATGTTTTTACAAATAAACCACACCATGTCTCTACTATGTCCCCTTTGCATGTACAAGGTTTTGATCTTCTTGAGGGTGATCTTGGAACTGTTGGATCCAAAATTTGTTGGACCTATACCCTTGGTAAGCTAAATATTTAAAAATCATAATTTATATATATATTTATCAACCCCATCCCACTTCAATAATTTGAAATTTGATAACGATAAATCTGTGAATCTATAAATTAATTTTGGTCAATTGAACTTTTCAGAACATTGTTCGCTCCTAACTCATTTACTCTTTTAGTATTGACTAAAATGTCATCCGGCTCCTCATTTAAGTTCAACGTGTAGGGGGATGTGTTTAACTGTCTTTTTACTAGAATCTTTTGTGATAGTTTTTAAAACTATTTTAGCGATTATGATTGAGATAAAAACTCTTTAAATGGGTTTTTTTTTTTGTAAGCAGATGGGGAAAAGAGGATCTCTAAACAAATACTTGAAGATGTAGATCATGAAAATAAGGTGCTCGTACTCAAAGAATTTGAAGGAGATATAATAGATAAATATGATAGTTTTAAAGCAACTCTTCATATCGAAACAAAAGACGAAATCGATTTGATAACCTGGACATTGGAGTATGAAAGGCCAAATGAGACTGTCCCTGAACTTATAAGTTTGCTGGACTTTGTTGTTGGTATGACAAAAGGTATTGATGATCACCATGCCAATTGATGGGATCGATGTTGCTCGTACGTACTATTAAAAAATGTCATCAGGTGTATTTTTTTAATAGGATATGATATAAGTATGACAATATTTTTAAAGAATTCGATCACGTGTCATTGAGCTTTTACATAAATGTGATATGCTTTGTTTATTGTTTGTCCATGTTGGTTGTGTACTTTACGTGTCATTGAGCTTTTACATAAATGTGATATGCTTTGTTTATTGTTTGTCCATGTTGGTTGTGTACTTTTTTTCTTTTTAATGTGTGTTGTGCCTTTCTCATGTAAGTGATGTGTTGTGTAATAAGACATAAGTGTGAAGTTTATATTTATATATTGATTTTTGCTTCCTCCAAATTTATATTGTAATATTCTTTTTTTTTTAAATTTTCTTTCAAAGGATCAAGTATTTTTTTTTAACCATCAGAAATAGTTTAAGTATACTTTAATATTTATATTTGTCTTTATTTAAATACAAAAACATTTGTAAAAAGCTTAAAATCAAATGACCTAGGTCACTTTGAAATAATAAATTGAAATTAATAAATAGGAGTATAATTTATACATATTTATTTAAAATTGAACAGCGTCTAAAAGTAGTTTCTTATCATAAAAGTATAATGGAAAATAATCACTACTTTTTGTCCTAAAATTCTAAAAAAACAAATAGTTATTTAGAAAAATTACATGAATTGGTACATTTTAATATAGTACTCCGACCCTCTAGTTCACAGTGAGTTTTTTTTATAATCCAAATAAGAGAATTGTTCAAAATTTAAAGCATTGTTAAGATTTTATTTTATTTTTTGAATATATTTATCTTTCATTAATTATTTTATGTTTTCTAGGAGTATAGTTTATAGAATTAAAATTAAAATAGCCTTTTATTATATCCTAGAATATTTTTTTCAAGAAATATACTATTCCTCGACAATTCACTTAGCATAAACTATATATATATAATATCACGATCAAGTTTACTAGTCGAAAAATGATAAGTTAGTAATAACAATGGCTGATTTTGAACACCCTTAAACACGATATTACTTTTCTTTTCAAAAAAAATATTAAATCAAGAATGTTCAAGACTTAATTATATATATATAATAAACTATTATATTTAATCTATATATTCTGTACAATTTTTCATTAAAGAGAATTCAACTAATCATCATTACATTATTATCACTATATATATAATTCTTTCACAATTTAATTAAAAAAAATTAACTTCAACGTAACTCCTAAATACAAAAAGAAAATCTTGTTAAGGAACGCTTAACCGATCAATGAGTAGACAATAAATAAATAAATTATTGAGCAGATCTTTGGATGATTATTATTACGTATTGTTGCATAATGTGTTAGTATTATAATATTTTTTTTAGAATAGTATATATCCCCTAGAGTGGTTGAAACATAATTGCATATAATAAAATATCTCTAAATTAATTTATAGGCGTTATCATGAAATATTATTATGTTATAGAGATATTAATTTAATTGATGTCGAAAATATTTTTCGGGATGAAATCTCAAAGAATTTGAAAGAACTCACTTGTGAAAGCGTCATGAGGTCATGATTACTGATTTTAATAACCACAATAAATGTACGTTAATAACCTATTGAATGGGTGAAAATGATACATGTTCAGAGATTCTAGAATTTAAAACAAATTATGGATATCATTGTAAAACAATGTTGATGATGGAGTTGAAGATGATATAATATCTTTGAAGTGAGTTACGCATAATGAAACAATTAGTATATCTAGAACTCTTTTTCACAATTTTATGGTGCAATTAGAAAAAAACAACATTGAAACTTTTAAATATAATAAAAAAAGGTTAGAGATGAACTTCAACTAGATTTTTAAATTTTTATCAAAAAAATATAATAGTATCATATTTCAGTAAATTATCTTAGATATATTGTACTTTTAAAGAATTATTAATTTATAATATTAATGAGACCATATATTTGTATATGTAAGAGTTTTCTGAAAATATATTATCTTATCAAAATTAATGTTTTTTTCTATTGACCTAACTCGAAATCAAAGAAAATTATTATCTTAAAAATAATTATTAATTAACTGAATATTAATTTTATGGGGTTTTACACTATATTATAATTACTGTACAAGTGCATGAAATATGAAATTTATGTCACTTTTCTTGAGAATTGTAGTGTTTGGTCTTTTGAGTATTTTTAATATTTATTTAGTGTTGATTTGTCTCATAATGACCTAAGCCTAATTGTATTTTCTTTATTGCTTCTTCATTGGTTTTAGTTGAGTTGCATTTGCACGTTGAGAGGTATTTTGCTGCATTATTTTCTCTATTTATAACTCCATTATAACTTGTAATTTATATAATCGTCAGACCAATTATTTTCACTACTTACTGCTCTATTATCTTTTTATCTATTCTTATTAAGACTTTCTTAACAATATACAGTGATGATCTTCATTTGTTTTGTACACATAAAAATAGAAAGTGCATAAAATTAGTCAAAGTGAGAGTTCTAATTAATTTAAGAGGTGCTTTTTTTTGTAGAGCTTTGGATTCAATTCTGTTTAGAGTCTGTTGAGTTATATTTTATGATTAGGTTATTGCACCCTAGAGGGGACAAGTCTAGAGGAATACTACTGGATAGGTAAAAATATTTAATGCAATGGATTTGAATTTTCTTAAAAAAAAACAAAATATCTGCGCCTTAGCTTCAAATTTTTTTTCCTTTATTTTATTTTCAATTGTAATCTTTTAATATTATAATTTTTCACTAACATGTAGTAATATAAGTCCTAAGGGACAAGATTAAGATGTTATACCATCTTTGATTTTTAAAAAAGGATTAAAGAAAAGCCCCTCCCTTCCCCCTTCTAGTCTATAGATATTGTTGAATAATCATCATAAAGGATATCAACACTTGTCTATTACAATTTTTTTTATTATTTTCAAATCATTAGTAAAAATGGGTCTAAAATCTGTATTGTGTGCCAAAATAGAAATGAAGGCTAACAAAGATGTATTTCATGATGTTTTTACAAATAAACCACACCATGTTTCTACTATGTTCCCTTTGCATGTACAAGGTTTTGATCTTCTTGAAGGTGACCTTGGAACTGTTGGATCCAAAATTTGTTGGACCTATACCCTTGGTAAGCTAAATATTTAAAAATACCCTAATAAGACCTTTCAACCATTTTAGCGATTATGATTGAGCTTTAAGTATTTTAACATGGGGAAAAGAAGATTTCCAAATAAGTACTTGAAACTATAGATCATGAAAACAAGGTGCTCACGCTCAAAGAATTCGAAGGAGATGTAGTTGATATATATGATAGTTTTAAAGCAACTCTTCATATCGAAACAAAAGACGAAATCAATTTGATAACCTGGACATTGGAGTATGAAAGGCCAAATGATAATGTCCCTGAACTTATAAGTTTGTTGAACTTCATTGTTGGTATGACCAAAGCTATTGATGATCACCATGCCAATTGATGAATTGCACGGACTTTTAAAAAAAATTCATGTTGAATCCTTAAAAAAAAAAGAGTGCATTTTGATGAATCAAACACACATTTTTAGAGAATTCGAGCAACTTAATTAGGATGGGATCATAAATAAATACCCTATGCTTTGTTTGTTGTTTAATTTGTCCATGTTGGTTGTGTATTTTTTTTTATGTTTGTTGTGTCTTTCTCATGTAAATAATATATTGTCAACTATGTAAACCTTTGTGTTGTGTAATAAGACATAGGTGTGAAGTTTATATATATTGATCTTCGACTCCTCCTAATTTATTTAGTGGTATTTTTTTTTAAAAAATCTTTAAAAGGATAAAGTATATATTTTTTACCATCAGAAATAGTTTAAATATGCTTCTTTTATTGTAATTTGATATTTATATTTGTCTTAATTTAAATATAAAAAACATGTGTAAAAGCTTAAAATCAAATGACCTAACATCGCTTTGAAATAGTCAATTCCTACCCACTTTATTATATCCGACCTGATCTATTTGTCATCTCATTTCATCGTAGCACTATTTTTCTTTATCTCTTTAAAAAAGTCTTTTTAGTATAATTAGAAATAAGTTTAATTTTAATTTTTTTAAAAAGAAAAATGTATTATTTAATTTTCACAAAAACAGTTACAAATTAATCAGGTATACCTTTCTATCTATATCATCTATAAAACCTGTAATTCGAAGGAAATAAAAAAAATGCACGAATCTGAGGCAAGACTCTCTTATTAAGTTACGGTGTCTGTGCTAGTACGGGTCTAATATTTATTATTTCTTTTATTATAATTTTTGTGATATATATAGAATTTAGAAAGTTAGTTAAATTTTGATACGATTTTAGATATTTTAACTACTTTTTGTTTGCATAAATTTAATGTGAAGAGGTCTATTAAGGTGTCCATAATTAAGGTATTTTTTGTCATCGATCGTTGATTTTGGCTCAAAGTAATTACAAAATATAAACAAATATTATGGACATTCAAAATAATAAATCTATAAATAAAGAATATGAATTAAAACTAAAAGTCATAGCTAAAACGAATTTCATAATTTTTTTAAAAAAACTATACACTAATAAAATTACATTCATTTTTAGAATGAACCAAAAAAAAAAACTAAAAATAAACAAATTGAAAGTAATAAATAGGAGTATATTTGTACATATCTATTTAGTATATTGAACATTTTTTTAGTAGTTTTTTTTATCATAAAAGTAATAATGGAAAACAATTATTCTTATTTTCCTAAATTTTTTATAAAATAACTTACATGAACCTAGATCAGGTTTACTAATCGAAAAATGATAAAGTTAGTGATAACAATAATTTATTTTAAATACCCTTAAACAAAAAATTACCTATCGTTTTTTTTAAAAAAAAATAATTAAATCGAGAATGTTCAAGACATAACATATAGTCAATTACTGTATTTGATCTATATATCATGTATTAAAGAGCAAGTAATCATCATTATATTATTATATCTATATATAATTCTTTCACAATTTAATTAAAAAAAAGAATTTTAAATATAAAAAAAATCTTATTAAGGAACGCTTCACTGTTATACATGCAAATTCCATTTTTTCTATCGCTATCTATGATGGAAGTGGAAACATCAATGAGTGGACAATAAATAAATAAATTATTGTTTAATGGGATAATCCCCAAGTACCCCCTCAACCTATGCCCGAAATCTCAGAGACACACTTATACTATACTAAGGTCCTATTATCCCCCTGAACTTATTTTATTATTAATTTTTTACCCCTTTTCGACCTACGTGGCACTATTTTGTGGGCCCAACGATGATTGACTTTTTTTTTCTAAACTAGTGCCACGTAGGCTAAAAAGAGGTAGAAAATTACTAATAAAATAAGTTTAGGGGGTAATAGGACCTTAGTATAGTATAAGTGTGTCTCTGAGATTTCGAGCATAGGTTGATGAGGTACTTGTGCATTATCCCTTGTTTAATTGATAAAAAAAATGACTATAATTAACGTATCTTATTGTGATTTGTTTTTGCTTTGAATTTTAAAACCCAAAGAAAATATTTGTAGCTATTATTGTATTTGTTAATTTATCAGACAAAATCTATTTCTATATATCTTCTTTGGATTCTCTGATGTTGATAGCTTAAGCTTTAGTTGTTGGGAGGGTTGATATGTATTGTTTTATAATATATATAGTATTATATTGTTTATTTTGTATTTTATTATATTATTTTAATGAAAATGAGTATTTTTATCGTTATTTAACAATAGATTTAAATGATATGATACAATATGTGTTAAGTGACAATTAAAATAAATATTGTATTTACACTGATAATATACTACAATGCAATACACCGGATAACAACCATCCAAACAATAGTTCAAAATATTTTATTTTATTTATTTATTTAATAAAAAATAATTTTTACGGGTTTTTAATCTAAAAATACCTTTTATATTGATAACTTATTTAATCAAACAAACGATTTATCTTATTAGTCCAAGTAAATTTTGGAGAAACTTACCATATTTACTGGTACTTCCTATAATTTTGAAATAGTTACGTTTTATCTTACTAATTAATATTTCATGTTACATACACTTAGATACATGTTTTTTGTTACCAGATTCACTGAAATAGGGAGAAAGACGAGCGAGAATAAAAGGGAGGTGAACGAGATTTGTCTATGTATTCCAGACACATGCGAATCACACTATATATATTATTCTAGTGTGATTCACATGTATCTGGAATACTACACACACGGTCGAGATAGAAGAATGGAAAACGAAAAGAAAGAAATGCGAGCGAGATTTGTCTATGTATTCTAGCTAGATACATTTAATTCAGTTGGATACAATGTATTTATAACAAATTAATAAACCTGATTTCAACCCTATGATCCTAAAATACATGTATTTTACTATATAATTGAACGCATTAAAATCTTATTAGATTCATAATATTGCAATGTATATGAATAATTAGCTCAGGTAAGAGGTTAATTAGAATTTGCATTATAAACATTTCTTTTTAGAATAGTAAGTATATATTTCCTAGAAGTGGTTGAAACATGATTGATTTCATAGTATATGCATTACAAGTATTGACGCATATTGCAAGTGCATATGATAAATGATTTTCTTGAGAAATATAATGTTGTTATATAAGTCGTAAAGGACAAGATTAAGATGTTATACCATCTTTGATTTTTTTTAATTTTAAAAAAAGGATTTAAAAGAGCCCCTCCCTTCCCCCTTTTAGTCTATATATATTGTTGAATAATCATTGTAAAAGATATCACCTCTATAATTTTCTTCTAGTGTCACTATATCTATCTTTTTATTTTCCAAAGTCTTTTTGGTAAAAATGGGTCTAAAATCTGTGTTGTGTGCTAAGATAGAAATGAAGGCTAACAAGGATGTGTTTCATGATGTTTTTACAAATAAACCACACCATGTCTCCACTATGTCCCCTTTGCATATACAAAATTTTGAACTTCTTGAAGGAGGCATTGGAATTGTTGGATCCAAAATTTGTTGGAACTATACCCTTGGTAAGCTAAACATTTAAAAATGTCCTAATAACCCCCTTTGAACAATTTGGTTCCTTTTACGAACTTGATATCGATAAATTTACGAATTGTCCAATTGAACTTTCTCGAACACTCTTCACTCCTAACTCATTCACGCTTTTGATATTGACTAAAAATGTCATCCGGCTCTTCATATTAGTTCAACGGATAAGAGAATGCCTTTAACTTGTCTTTTTAGTAAACTTTTTGTGATAGTTTTTTTTAACTATTTTAGCGATTATGATTGAGATAAAATATCGTTAGATGGTCTTGTACTCAACTCTAATTTTCTCATTTCCATTTCTTCTTTTTTCTCTGAGCAGATGGGGAAAAGAAGATTTCGAAACAAATACTTGAAACTATAGATTATGAAAATAAGGTGCTCACACTCAAAGAATTCGAAGGTGATGTAACAGATATATATGATAGTTTTAAAGCAATTCTTCATATCGAAACAAAAGGCGAAATCGACTTGGTTTGCTGGACATTGGAGTATGAAAGGCCAAATGAGAATGTCCCTGAACTTATAAATGTGTTGAACTTCGTTGTTGGTATGACAAAAGCTATTGATGATCACCATGCCAATTGATGAATTGATAAGATCTATGTTGCTGGACAAGTGCATATTGTGTACTTTCTTTTAATGTGTGTTATGTCTTTCTCATGTAAGCTATATGTTATGTTGCCAACTTTATTAACCTTTGTGTTGTGTAATAAGACATGGTATGAAGTTTTTATGTATATTGTGCTCTTAGCCTCTTCTTAATTTATATAGTTATATAGTGATTATTTTTTTTAAAAAAAAGATCAAGTATATTTTTGTAGTATGAAAATAATTTAAATATATCAACCACTTATGTAACGAGAGAGAAAATCGCAAAATTGAGGGTTATATAAACCCTTTTCCCTTTTTTTTTCCAGGTACTCCATTATCTCGGTTAAAACAACAATGACCTCTTCCACAGAGCAAATATCAATTCAGGACCTAGCATTTTTTAGCAGTAAAAGCAAACTTTTCGTAATACAGTCAAATCTCATTATAACAACGATCATTCATTGAGATAAAAAATATTTCATACTTGAATGTTCAATTGCACAATACATGCCAAAACTACTTATGAATTCACGTCCCATATATGTATGGGAAATTTCTTCAGAAAGTATATATAGCTCAAAGCTTACTATTGACAGCCAAATACTTGGTATGGCGACCTTGTGCAACTATCTTCCCCGTCTTTTTCTTCCTCAACTCAACAGTGACAGCAGCGATTGACTTCCCAACTCGTAATACTTTGGCTTCAAGTTCGATTTCCTCCTGATTATGTAAGATAGACAATGATTGAATTGAGGATATTGCATTGTATCCTTTTGAAAATTAGATAACATTGACTTGCACCATCCTTAAATGGAATAATATATGTGAAAAAGCATAGCAACGGAGTACTACTTATTTTGGCTATAACAAGTCATGTTATGAGTTTTAGCAAGTAAAACAAACAAAAAATGGGCCAACAACCAGTCAATCAAAAAAAGAAGGATGAGACTCAGCAATCACATTAATACAAGAAACAAAGTCCGTCGTCAATGAGAGTCCCCTTCTTGGTGCAACTTTTTTTCGGCTAATATGAGCAAAGTACTTCTTATTTCTTCTTTTTTTCGACAATATATGACAACCCATCACAGATTATAAGTTTTTCACTTGTATTTATGTATGTTGAAACAAATAACACTAAAATATAGTGCTTTAAGTTGCTGCTAGTTTCAGTTCATAGCTAGTATTGCTTTACATTCAAGATGTCAGGCTGAATAATAGTCTCGTTCAGCCTACTAGACTATCACTTCTGCTAAAATTGTATATTAGATGTCTGATATAACAAGATAAAATTCTCTATACTGTCTAATTGTGAATGAAAATACATTTTATTCTAATTCCTTATTCTTTATCGCCACGAGATTCTTCCCTTGAAGATAGCATTAACATTCTACAAGAAGATTAAAGGGAAAGCTTCTATATCAAACTGGTTGAATTGTTAAACTGACTATTGATGAAGTCCATGCTATTGCACATGTTTATCTTATAGATGTAAAAGCCATCCATGTGTATCCCAAAAATGTTGCATTGCTGGAGGTTGGTGAATGAAGAAGGCCAATGTTGCTCTGACATACTAGAGTAGCATTTATAAGCTAAATTTTGTGGCATTGCTTAAACCAGAACACACTTATTGCATAAGACTTCAAAGTGAGCTTCAAGAACATTCTGATTAATTAAGTTCTGATCATAACGAAGTTGTACTCTGCTAACTATACTAAATGCAGTTCAAGAAGCTATGCAAATAGAACTGTATATAACATCAAAGACCTCCACATGAAATAAGGGCCGTAATTCTTTCATAACAACACTATAATGCCGTTTAAAATTTCATCCTTCTTATGATTATCGTGAAAGATAACCATAACATTGGTGCAAAATATACCCATTTTTCCTATAAGGCTCTCTCTTTTACTAGTTAGCTTTTCTTCTCTGAGAAAATTTTCAGTGAGACCTATTACTACGCAAACAACAACAACAACAAACTCAATGTGATCAATTCCACAAGTGGGGTTTGGGGAGGATAGAGTATACATAGATCTTATTCCTATTCAAGAGTTGGAGTATTTGTTTCAGATAGACCATTGACTCAAGGAAAACATATCAAAGCAAATCAAAAAAGAAATAACGAAAATACTATAAAAAGCATACTGAAAAAATGAAACAGCAACTGCAACAGAATCGCGTGATTATTCAATACACAGTATCAAAAATCAAAGGACAACAAACTACAGGGGAAATACTACAACTTATGGAAGTATAAGCAAGACAACACTCAACCACCTAATAACCTTCCATCCTAATCCGTTAACTCCACATAGAACACCCTCCCGTCTAAGGTCATGTCTGGAATAAGATAATAACTTCCAACATCTTAGCACATTTCTGAGGTGAAAACGAAAGACAACATAGAGCCTGCAATATCGCTTGCAAATCAATACTTGAACAGAATGAAGAAAAGAGCCAAAATTCACAACCACAAATATGCAATCCCAAACTCCAAAGATGAATACAACAACAACCTATCCAAACTTTACGAAATTGTAATCTGAAAAAGAAGAAACTCACTCCGAGATAAGCAGCATCCAAATATGAAACGTTGATCTCAAGTGACACACCAGTCAATGGCGCACCTACAGTATGAACAACAGCAGAACCCATAATATCCACCAGAGTCGCCGTAGCTCCACCATGTAGAAAATTACCGGCATTCTGTTCCGATCAGAAATCTCAATAAATTAATCAAACAAAAATTGTAGATATATAGAAACATGAAGGAAATAGTAATTCACCACTAGACGAAGAGGGACTTTGAATGAACAGAGAATCCGACCCGGCTCAACAAGGTCAACCTTTATCCCATGGCAAACAAAGGGTTCAATAAATCTTGAAGGCATGGAATCCACTGAGGTTTCATAGCTTCCTCCTTCTTTCTCCAAGAATTTCTTCAACGATTCGATATCCATCTCAATTTTGCACACCCAATTCAATTATCTTATGGCTTTTGTGACGTATTCAGCTAATTCAACCCCATGTGTATGATGGGTGTTTTGTGTGATGTTAGACGGTCGGAATTTAGTCGGACTTCATAAAATTAAAATTGTGATTTTAAAATCTAAAAATTTATTTGAACATGCATCTATTTGACTTAGCTAGTTTTAAAAATTACAAAATAATCTTTTAATTAAAACTTCATTAGTGTTTCTAGCAATAATATATAAAAATGTTCTTTAGTTTGGTTTTAATTAGTATTTATGTTCTTTTAGCTTTGTATGTGTACCTAAATTTACATAAAATTGAACAAACAGACACTAAATAACCACCGACACAAACATGATATTTAAACTAATAATACAATACAATACGATGAGTATCAACCATCTAAACAAGGTGTTACATGTGAAAATAAATAGAAGTCTTACTTCATCTAGGTGTTTTCAATGAATAACCTTCTTGTAGACATACAATCTTGAAACCAATAGAAATACTATGAAGTTAATAATGCTAAGTATAACCAATAGCCAAAAGAAGTAATCTAAATGCCCTTTGTTCAAATTTTCTGTTATCCATCCAAACTTCTTGTTCCTTGTCACTATTGTAACTAGGAAACTACTCAAATAGCTGCCTAATGCAGCTGCCATCAACAATAGGGCTGAACATAAGCTTCTCATCGCGTCGGGAGCTTGATCATAGAAGAATTCCACTTGACCTATCAACGTGAATACCCCCGCGCATCCAATGAAAAAATATTGAGGAACTTGCCAAAAGATAGACATAGGAATAGTCTTGACATCATAATACCCCTTCTGTTTGATGTAGTCGAGGCGTACTGCTTCCACAACACCAGCAGATACCATGGACAACATAGATATTACAAGGCCTATACCTATCCTCTGAAGCTGAGTGAATCCCCGGGCGTGGCCTGTGTACTTTCTAGCAAAGGGGATAATAAGTTGGTCATATATCAGCACCCATAGTATCACACTGATTGTTTCGAATACTATCAAAGATGCTGATGGTATTTTGAAATTACCACCCATGTAGCGGTCCATTGTGTTCCCTTGGAGCACAAATGTTGTGTTCATCTGACTGTATGCAGTCGTGAACATAATGCAGCATGCCCACACTGGGAGTAGACGAATGATAGACTTGATTTCCTCAACTTGTGTCACGGTACAGAGCCTCCAGGGATTCACCGATCCATTTACTTTATCGCGTGCTGTTTCCACAGCAGACTTGTCCAAGAAGCTGCATTTCATTTTCCAAATGGTCAATAGTACAAATATAACAATGATTCGCTTATAAATAGTTGAGTGACATTCAGAGTAAACTACCCTTAGTTGAGTGACTATCTGAGAAGGACGATTATTACAATTCTAATATAATTAGTCCATAATTTTACCTGAACTTATCCGTATGAGTGAGCTTGCGGCTTCCCTTGATGTTTGATTCCTCATTAGCAGTCTCATAAAGAAGAGATTTATCAGCAGGAGGTTTAACATCCCATTTTCTCATAGAAGCTACCAGTACTTGCAACATCCGAATCAACGGACTACCTCCTGGCGTCTGGAGCCTGTAAAAACGAGTGCCTACAAAGAAAAACATAAGAGCAATAGCCATTGCAACAGCTGGAATACCGAAACCCCAGCCCCAGCCGACACTCGTTTGTATCCAAACAAGGACTGATGAAGCAATAAGAGCACCAATACTTATTGACAGATAAAACCAGTTAAAGAAGGAGCTTTTCTTTCTCTTTTCGACTTCATCGTTGTCATCAAACTGATCAGCACCAAAAGAGGACACACATGGTTTGATGCCACCAGTCCCTAAAGCAATCAAATAAATTGCAATGTAGAATGTTGTTTTCTCTAGCTCTCTTGGGTGGCAAATTCCATCATGACATGATGGCTTTATTCCAACTATTGAAGCTGACATTGTCAATAGAGTCATTCCCTATAAAAGAAAAGTTCATCAAATCACAAAACATGTTGTGATCGTAAAATAAATGGATCTTTGATCTAACTCAATCTATTAGAAAGTGGGACTCATAACACTCCCCTGCACATCTAGACCTCGTTAACAAAGAATTGGGATGAGTCCGACTCTCATGTCATGTAAAGAAATGAATCTTGGGTCTAACTAAACCTCAAAAGCTAGGTCACGAGGGGAGAATTGTCTAAAACCATATAACGAGACCATTTACCCATCCCATATCCGACGTGAGACTCTTAACACTAAATAAATTTGACAACAAGTACTTGTTAAGAAAAAGTAGTTACTACTAATTACCATTATATAAATGATTGAGAAAATTGCTATTGTCCAGTATCTCCCAAGGTAAGCATCAGCTAAGAATGCTCCGAGCAAAGGCGAGACATAGCAAGTTCCTTGAAAGTTTGTTACAACTTTTGATGCAGCCGCGTTGTTTAGGCCAAGCATTTGATGAAGATAATTAACCAAATTAGTACTTGTACCAAAGTACGCTAGTCTCTCAGAGATTTCCTCCCCTGTAAAACGCCATGGATCGCGCTATTTATAGTAAATGAAATCACATAGTTATATTAGTTTGATTAAATATAAAGTTAACTATACCAAGGATGAAGAAACAAGCCTTCCATGTCCCAGTTTTTTTCTTGTTAGCTGGTGCTTTAGTGATATCAGTTGTCCCATCTTTTGTGTAGACATCATCTGCTCTTTCCATTTCTAGCTTTCTCTATGTAATTAAAAGTTTACGTCAACGTGTAATTTCGGGGTCTCAGGAGTAGAGAATATGCAGATGAACGCTACCTGTGCTAGAATTAGAGAGGTTGTTTCAAATGAACCCTCGAGGAAAAATAGTTCAAAGCAAATCGAAAAAGGAAATGAGGAATTTACAAAGAGTACCTAATTACAAAAAAAAAAAAAAAAATTGGATGAATTTTGAAACTTTATCTTAAATATTTATTTGGTCATATACTATAGTAATCACTGAACCAGTTATCTAAACTTTTTAGAGAAAATTTGAAAATAGCTAAAGACAATATATATAATAAAGGTCTATGTCTATAGTTATGTATAAATAGGGTGGTAAGTATACACAAATAGAGGCTGCGATTTGTATATTTTATTTACGAATATACAAATAAGGTAAGTATATATAAATTTTGTATTTATACATCATTAAAGAAAATTTTCAGAAGTTCGTTTGTATTTTTCAATTGTCAATATGCAAGTAGAGTAATTTATTATGATTTTTTCATAAATCGTACACAATTAGATAACATAAACATAGACAAATTTTAAATTTATACGATAACGAAAGCATGATCATATATCACAAACTTACATAATAACATGATAATATAAATCAAAAACGAAAATTACTAAGCACTAACCTCTTTGAAGTCTTCATAAAAATAGTTTCAAAACTGATAAATCTAGAGCTTTCATGTTCTGTTATTTTGTGACTAACTTTTCAACTAGAAATTTCTGTGGGCAAATATTTCTTTTTCAGAAAAAAAAAAAAACTGCCCATTATATTTCAATTTTCATTGATGAAGAGAGGGAAAGGGCAAAAAACGTTTCATGCCTTCTTTTATTAATTTATTTTTAAGAAAAAGCAAGAATCAACGGCTTTTTCTGGAAAAAGGTTTAACTTCGTGTTAGTACACAAGTAGACATTTAACTATTCAAAAACTTTTTTAAAAGAACACTATTTTCTAAGATATAAAGTGTATAAAATTACAAAACAAATAAGTTCGGGGTAATAGAACCTTAGTTTAAGATCTTAGCTATTTTTGTAAGTTCGGGGTAATAGAACCTTAGTTTAAGATCTTAGCTATTTTTGTTGATTCTGAATTCTAACATTATTTTTGTTAAAAAAATATCATGGGAGTTCATTAAGACCTTAGTTATGGAGCAAGTTGGCCTTGACGGTCAAAACGATTTACTTTTAAGGTCAAAAGAGCCTCGTAGCAGGTAAACCCCCAATTTTATCGATTTTCGTGTGTTATAGTCTATGGATTTTTGGAGATTTAGAATTTCGATGTCATTTATACCAAAAAATTTCATGGACATCCGTTAAGACCTTAGTTATAGAGTTAGTTGGCTCTGACGGCCAAAACGATCCATTTTCAAGGTCAAACGAGCCCCAGAGTAGGTGAACCTCCCATTTTTCGATTTTCTTGTGCTATATAGTCCATGATTTTTTGGTGATTTGAAATTTCGACGTCGTTTTTGCCAAAACTTTTTCATGGACGTACATTAAGACCTGAGCTATGGAACTAGTTGACCTTGACTGCCAAAACGACTCATTTTCAAAGTCAAACTAGCCCCTAGCATGTAAATCACTCATTTTGTCGATTTTTGTGTGTTATAGTCCATGTTTTTTTGGTGATCTAGAACTCCGACGTAGTTTTGTCTAAATTTTTCATGGACGCCCGCTAAGATCTTAGTTATGGTTCCAATTGACCCTAACGTTCAAAACGACCCATTTTCGAGGTCAAACGAGTCCTGAAGCGGGTAAATCTCTCATTTTGCCAAATTTTGCGTGTTATACTCCATGACTTTTGATGATTCGAAATTCCGACTTCATTTTTATCAAAAAATTTCATGAACATCCATGAAGACGTTCGGCATGGAGTCAGTTGACCCTGACGGTCAAAACGGTCCATTTTCAAGGTCAAACGAGTCTTTGAGCAGGTAAACCCTCATTTTTCTGATCTTTGTGTGCTATAGTCTACCTTTTCTTTTGTTATCCAGAATTCCGATGTCATTTTACTAAATTTTTAATGACGTCCGTTAGTACCTTATCTATGGAGTCAGTTGGCCCAGACGACCAAAATAATTCATTTTCAAGGTCAAACGAGTCCTTGAGCAGGTAAACCCCTCATTTTGCTGATTTTCGTGTGCTATAGTCCACTATTTTTTTTGTTATCCAGAATTCCAATGTCATTTTGCTAAAAAAAATTCATGGATGTCCGTTAAGACCTTAGCTATGGAACCCGTTGGCCAAAACGGTCCATTTCCAAGGTCAAACGAGCCCCGGAGCAGGTAAACCTCCATTTTGCCGATTTTCGTGTACTTCCACCATCTTTTTTGGTGATCCGGAATTTCGACGTCATTTCTATCGAAATCTTTTAGACAAAAGAATTAGATATTAAAAAACTTTACGAAAAATAATATAAATTGCATATCAATATGTGGAAGAAAAAACATATCATAAAACATTAGTCAAAGTTCTTATCATTTGACTCTAAAAAAGATCATGACAATTAAAAGTAAACGGAGAAAATATGAGATATACAACGCATTATACAAAGTCAGAGACGTATACTATAATTATGCTTCAACGTGGTAATTATATTTCACCTCTTCGAAAGAACTAAATTTGATCAAAATATATATACTTAATTGCATCGCGATACATTTATAAAAACTTCTACCATGTACACATAATAAAATCACGGATAATAAACTAAAATTCAATCCACAAAATAATTTAATCTATAAACAACATTGTTAGATAAGGTCATAATTTCAAAGAAATTAAAAGACATTGTACATCTTGATAATCGACTAATTAAGAACAACCCCATATTGTTATCAAGATTACATAAACGTATCATACAATATGTTTTATTTAAATACACTAGTATATTTATATATATATATATATATATATATATATATATATATATATATATATATATATTTCCTAACTAACACACTTTTTCTTCATATGTCCAATCGTAAAATTTAAATTCAAACAACATATATTTAACTAAATTGATTAAATAAGATAATCATATAAAGCATGCAAATCATGTGGTGATGATTGGTAAGTTTCAAGAGTACCCCATTCTAATTCTTGTGGTGAATATGTAACATTATTATTAGTACTATTGTATCGATGATTTAATAATCCATCGTCTTCCTCGAATCGAGTCTTTTTTCTTGGTAATTGACAACCAGATATATCAAACTCGGAATCATATCCAACCTCGAGTTCCTTGACATTTGATTCAGATTCCTCGCATAAGGATGGTAACGCTAAGGGTAAATACGAATAAGACTTGCAACTAGATCTAGAACCTGAAGCACGAACTTTTTGTTCTTCCATTATTCGTTCTAGAAATCTTCCTTGTGCTTCAAGTTTTATCTTCAAGTTTCTTTGAACCTTTAAAAAGAAAAAAAATTAATCTTAATTAATAATTTACTAAACATGGATTTATTAAATTATAAGCTTAATTAGTTTACCTCAAGATGATCACTTAATCGCTTGTGTGCATCCATATGCATTTGTAATGCTTCATTAAGTTGAGCACCCCTATATAAATCGATACAGAGTTTTAACTTCTATAAACTATAGTATAAAAGAACTTTCGCCTAATATTTATAGGTATATTATTTGCGGATTTTTAATTATAATCCACAAAACAAGAAAAAAACATATGACACTTGTTTCATTATACATATGTATACATATTTGATTTTGAACTCAGGTATTATTAAATATTAATTTATTATAGTTATGAAAATTTATAAACTTTAAATTCAGAATCCGTGTCTCTATTTATAAGGAATTAAATAGTAACTCACGCTGTAACACTGAAGTTTGGTAAAATTTCTGATATGCTTCTCCTTTCAAACTTGCCAACTATATGTTAAAAAATGAAAAGCAAGAGAAAATAAATTAATATATAACTTTAGTATATTTATTTATATTAACATAATTAATTAACTTGTAAATAAAAAAATAAAAAACTTACTTTCAGAGTCTTCACGTACAAATTTTGACATGCGGTATTTCTGTTGCAAATCGAAAGAGTTTGAGTTTTTTTTTCAACGATTTCAAGTTAATACTATAATATTAATTGAGTTTACAGTTATAATTGATAAATATTTTAATATATATAAAAATTATGAGCAAAAGTTACTGAATTTACATGAATTGAATTTATATCGCACGCTTTTTAAGCTGCTCTAGTGATATATGCACATCTAGAATCCTAATTTTATGAATTATGGATTATAAAAATTATTTATACAAAAAGGAAAGAAATTATCACAAAGGGATATTAAGAAAACCTGTAGGTGGCTTTTCACGTGGAAGATTGTTAGACCAGAAATCCCCATAACCTTCAAAATTCCTTTTGGTGTTGCTCCTGCAAGCCAATTTAGTTGTTTTTTTTTTAACAAAACATAATTTAAGAAAATGAAAAAAAGTAAATAAAATTGGTGAGAGGATAATTATATGGTAGAAATGGAGAATCGAGAGAATTTTCATGTGTTTGACTCATACGATGATTGACTCAAGAAGAGGAATTGTGCATGTGAAAGACATATTTCACTAAATAAAAGGGTATCTCATCGTCACTCATTATCAAAAAGAAAATAATAACGCTCTCCTCAACGGTTAAACCTTGTATAGATAAAACGTTCACTTACTTTCCGGACCTCCGAGTTGACTCACTGCCTTCTCAAACAGATCATGAAGCTCTTGAGTCCATTTCAGTCTCTCCTTTGATGAACCATCGGAACGATTCGAAGCCATACTGGAACTTGGCTGCTCTCTGAATTCCCCAGGCATTGCAGAGAGAACTCTGCCAAAGCTTATAGACAGAGAAAAAGAAACAACACTTATATGTTAACAAGTTGATGGATCCTATGGAAACAGGGTAGGTATAATACAGATAAATTTTCGGAACAAACCAAGCTATGTGAAAAAAGATATTCCAAATTCCAAAAATGATGTTGATTTTTATAATCATTTGGTGAAGAGAACTAAACTCATAAGCAACAAGAAGCTAACAAGAGTAGTAAAAATTGGCACTTGTCAATTGGACAAGACAAAATAAGGCATATCTATAAGCCAGCTTTTCAGTTTTTGGTTTATACTGTTGGCTTAAATCCAAATATCATACCATAGTAACCAACCAGATATGGAAGTTGTACCTGTATATCAACATAACTATGTATTTCATTGACAAATAACTGTGAACAATTTAACATGATCAAGGAAGTAGAGTAAATTAACAGACTTTCTATATAGGTATTGGGATTGTGTTAAATACTGAAGATGGATGAAGGAAATAAGAGAAACTTCATCTTCTTTTTGAGCATATATAGGTAAAGAAAAGATTACAATAGCATGTCCATTACAGGTGTAATATTTGCTGTACTATTCTGTTAATGGCCAGAAATAGAATTATGGCTGCTCTTTCTCTGATTCATGAGAGGACTACTGTCTGCTTCGCTTCAAGGTACAAGACGGGCATTTGTATTGCTTTATACTCTCAGCTTTAGCAGGTGTTATCTTCACACACTTGCCATGGTACCACTTCTCACAGATGTCGCAGCCAATCCAAAATTCATCAGCACTGTAATTCCCACCACAGCTTCCACAGAGTGTTTCACCGTGTTCTTCTTCATCCTCCAGATAACTTTCATCTTCCAGCTTCGGGGTGCTTTTCACCTGACCATCACTAGATCTCTGCGTAAAATGGGGAAATTTTGACTTTAGTAATGAAGGAGAGAGTTAGCAAGCACATTAAATAATAGATCATGACATACTGAGGAGAAGCTAAATAGAAGTATCATGGTGTTACTGATATTTCGCACTAATACTAAGGGGACGTACCAACTAAGGAACAACAAATTAAAGGGAAGATAACATAATAGCTTTCATGTTCTCATACCTTTATGCTACTACCACGTGATCTGCTTCCACTGTCTGCACTGGGCTTATCTTTTATTGGTTTTCTTTCAGTCACAACTTCAAAGACAGTTGGCACCTCGTTGATCAAGCTGAATAGACGCTTCCTGTACAATAAGTATGGAAACTCAGACTAACAAGAACTTCCTCGCAGAAAAGTTACACCACAAAGTAGAGACTTCCCAGGCGAAAGTTATAAAGAACCAAATCAGAAAGTTGTCTAGAAATAGCAATTAGCAAGTAGAGTGACACTAAATTGTTGTTCTTTTCATCTCTTGCAAGCTCCACACATCCACCACAAAGGAAGATGGTGGAGTGGTGGAAGAGGTGAATAAGAATTAATAAAAGCTGCCACTAGTAGGGAACAGTACCTCCTTAACTGGGCATCTGGGCCCTACGTGGTAAGAATATGGATAAGTGCGGCTAGTGTGTTCCGGATACCAAATGATTATATCTAAAAAGATGCTGCCGCTGAATTTTGAATCTAATGCAATGACCAAGAAAAGAAGAATCACACAAATACTATGAGAAGTATAAACTATGAGATCTCTAGGAAAGAGAGCGACATGGCAAACATGTGTTACCATCCTTAACATTCTCTCTCTCTCTCTCTCTCTCTCTCTATATATATATATATATATATATAGAGAGAGAGAGAGAGGGAGAGATCACACCTCCTTGGGGCGCGACCCCTCCCCGGACCTTGCGTGAACACCAGATACTTCATGCACCTGGCTGCCCCCCTTTTTTAATCCACAAATGCACATTCATCACTACTAGAGATGCAATCTATCATTAGGAAGAGAGAAGTGTCTCAAGGCTAGTTATTAGCACCAGTGGCTGTCCTTTAAAGAAAGTGGAACTGGAACCAGAAGAAATATCAAACCAGAAAACATAACATATATCCTACATGTAAATAAAGGTAATGTGGTGGCTAGATAAATGAATAGACTATTCCGAATTTCTTTGCATGTTTAAGTTGCATAACTGTAGAGGTTCCTCCACTTCAGATGTCCCAACATCCAAAGAAGCAAGATACAACTTTAAATAGAATGATCAACCCTCCAGAAATCCCGGGGCAAGCGATTGAAGAGTAAGATGGATGTCTTAGCAAACAAAATTCAAAACTGGCAATACACCACACCACACATGCACAACAGAAATAGTTTCTCAATGAAACCTAACACTTGAAGACAAATATAATAAAGCTAAGTTAAGTTGGTGAATGATCTATGGACTCGCAGAAGATTAAGGAAACAAAAAAGAAAAGAAGCATCTTTGTGTACTTAATAGATGGAGAGTTACAAAGATGGACTCCAGAACTCGTGTAACTGACTCTAAAAGGGTGGTACACAGACATGGAGTTACATGTAATCAAAAAATATGTTATAACTTCAATACTCGACAAGCATGACAAAAATAAACAACCAACAGAATGCATCCCCTCTGCCCCATCAGAAATAATCTTCAACCATACAGACTCAAGAAGAACTCATCTTTTGGACTAACAAAATTTGTCACATTTCAAGATTGAATGAAGTGCAAGCTGCAGAATTTCAACCTGATAACACAGAGCAACCATTTATTTGCTTGAACCAAGCACTGTCACCACCTAATGACAGTCTTAACAATACATAACGATCAATACTCCTGATATTTTCAACTTAGTGACCAACAACAGAAAAGACACCTGACAGAAATGTGGACAAAACAAGGCTGGGATCTTATCTTCAGAATGATGCTCAATGACTGGGAGTTACATAGGGCGACTGAATTTTACGGTACTTCGGAAAATATTGGTGGTTTACAGGAGGGGGCTATAAATTCTGGTGGAATGGGCATAGTAGTGGTTCATACAATGTGAGTTCAGCCTATGAAGTATTGAATCAAACCAATCAACAGGTTGAGAATTGGCCTCGGAAGCACAACTGGAAGACAAAGATACCACGTAGCTTGCTTTGTTTGTTTTCAACAAAAGAGGCTAGTCTTAACTCTTACCTGGGAAAATTTGAAGAAAAGAGGTATCTCTCTCTATCCCACAATGTTATTTATGTGGTGAAACAGCAGAGACAACATCTTTTTCTTCATTGCAAGTTAACAGAACAACTGTAGAGAATCTTCATTAATCTTAGAGGCATCACTTGGAGATATCTGATGTATTACTTAGTTGGGAGGAAGCAGGAGTTTAGGAAAATGATAGTGAAAGATGGATAACTGTCCCAGCTAACATTTGGTGGACAGTCTAGAAAGAGAGAAATACCAAATGTTTTGAAGATCTGAGCAATTTTGTGCAAAAGATCAAATTGAACTGCATTATGCTCTTGTCTTTTTGGTGTACAGTTCTACCCAGGAGAAACTGTAGAAATTCTCAATATGCTAGATTCCATTTAGATGGTCAGAATAGCTTCAGTTTCTTAGAGACATGTTTTGTAAAATATGGCTTCAGTACAACATATACATTGTTTTGTTCATTTACATAGATACATACACACAAGTTACCAGTTTCAAGAAACAAAACGCATAGCTATCCAACAGGAAATCCTCATTTCTCAGAAGAAGAAAAGCCTATTTTCTCCATAGCTAAAAACAGAAGAAGCAAACATGAGCAACGAATAGTTCGAGATTTTGCAACATTCATGTGATTTTTTTCCATTAATTTTACTGATTTTTTTTGGCTGCAGCCATTACTTGTTCAAATTGTTGTTAATCGGTAATTCTTCTGCCAGCAAATACAGTCTTCTTCTCAGATTCGCCAATGACGACAGTTACATTAGCACCATCAGAGCTGATTCCAAAATGAGGACCGGAGCAGGATGAAAAGACAATCAAGCTGTATATATGGGATACTGCGGGCAGGAGGGTTCGGGACTATAACAAGCAGTTACTATCGGGGAGCACATGGGATCATACTGAGATTACATAAATTGATTAGAACTTCCTCTGGCCATAAATTTTAGAAAAATAGTAGTTTGGATTAATCACCTTCCTAGCCTCGCATTTTGTCTGCATCTTTTTGTTATTTGCGTATTGCTTATGATACTTTTTCTTGCATCTGGTATCACTGAGAAACCTGGCTTGCTTATTCTAAAATTTTGATTGAATTAATTTGCTCAGTTAGCCTTTTTTAAGTTAGGTGTATTGAATTAATTTGTACAGACTGTGTTTTAATTAGATTGCTTAATTGATGTATATTTTTGTTTTTTACTTGTTAGTTGCACTGTTTTTCCTTTAATTCTAGACTCTGCGGTTGTTTTGGTGTCAATTTTGGTGAACTCCTGATTATTTTTCATTCTTGTTTCCTGCCAGTTAGTTGCACTGTTTTCCTTTTTCTGGACTCCTTCGATTGTTGTAGTGTCAATTTAGGGGAACCCTTGATTATTTCACTTGAGTATTGTTATAGCCTGTGTTAGTGTAGTCGGGGTTTGAAGGAAGTTTAAGGTCATATCCTTGATTGAGGATGACTGTGAGGGGTAGGGGTGGGTAAGGGTACCAAAGGGTGCTTCTAGGTTGAGAGTTGGATCTTGGAACATAGGGACATCAACAGGAAGACCATAAGAGTTGGTGAAGATTCTTAAGGAAAGGAAGATCATTGTAGCTTGTCCAGGAAATCATATGGGCAGGAACCAAGGATAGGGATGTAGACGGATTTAAGTTGTGGTACTTAGGAAGCTCGAGCATTAGCAATAGCGTAGGCATCTTAGTAGATAGGAAACTCAGGGAACAAGTGGTAAAGGTTAGGAGGGTGACTAATAAGATGATGGTTATTAAGATAGCTTTGGGAAGGATAAATTTACATTATTAGTGCATAAGTTCCTCAGGCGGTTGAACAAGGAGGTCAAAATACACTTCTGGGAGGAGTCGGACGAGGTTGTGAGAGGTATCCCGTAGACTGAAACTACTATTAGGAGAAGATTTTAAAGGTCACATAGGGATCACTTTAAGAGGATATGACAATGTGCATGGCAGTCTCGGCTTTGGGACAGAAATGAAGGAGGAGTTTTACTTTTAGAATTCGCAAAACCTTTTGAGTTGGTGACATATCGTAGTTCAGTAGTCAAGATAGATAAATTACTTGCTCGTAGGATGTGTGATAGAGGTTTATCCAAGGACTACAAGGTTATCCAGAACGAGAATCTTACAACCCAACATAAGCTAGTGGTAATGGATTTAGATATCAAGTGGAAGA